AAGTCATGGATGAATCTTCAAAAAGGAAAAAGTAAAAAGTTTCAAGAATAAAAAATTATGTATGAATCAGTACATGAGCACAGTCGAAAGAAGATAGTTTGCAAAACAGAAAAGTATGGACAAAGGTAACTAATGTTTTTGGTGTAAACTTGATTTTAATTATATTTTGTTTTCTCTTATTTCCTGCCCTTTAAATGTTTTTGCTCACTATTTCTTGCTTTTTTTCTGTGCTTTGCACAGTTGCTTTTGCTTATTCAGAATAGTTTGCCTAAATGTATATAAATCTCATGGGATACTAGAAAATTGTTGAGCTATTAATAATGTGGCCAAGCATCTTATATGCAACCTCTGTGTATTGTTACTTAGGTGCCACAGAGTCAAGATCCCAAATACTCACATTTGACCTGTTTCTGGCAATATTTTTTTTTATGTTTTAACAACCTTCCAATATGCTTCCATCTACTTTATCCAGTGGATTCTTCAGCTTTTACTTCCTTGAAGCTTCTCAAGCACGTTAATTTTTTCTAGTCTAACATCTGTTCATATAATGAGTGAAAATATGCACCATTTTGCTGACTAATCATTACCAAAACAGAAAAAAAAAATCAGCTTTTATTTAATATTCTTGAATCCTTAGTAACCCTGTCCAAATCCAGAAGTGTTTATCTTCTTTCTTTCATTGTTTCTTAATGACCAGCTTTCAGAGTTATAAATTACCACTGGAAAGATCATTGCTTTAACACTTTAACACTGACTGTAGCTGATTATTTTCTCTGTCACTGCCTTTCTTCTAGAGTTCGTATCCTCTCTAGTTTTACAGCATACTGTCTGTTTTTATCTACTTCCGCTGTCCAAAAACTCAAAACTTTGTACTATGTTCATTTCTTTGCAATCAGCTGTGAGTTCACTAAGTGGGCACAACGACATTCCTTCAGTCTTCTTAATATTTAACATTAGCCTGGATTTTTAATTTTTAATTTTTACTTCCTTATTTGCTCTTTCAATCTTCCTTACTTGCAGCTAATAAACTATATAATCTAGGGATGGCATGATATGATACGACCTCACTTCCATTTCTATTCTCAATCACTGTTTTTTTTTTCCAAAGCAGCTTCTTGTTCTGGGACAAATTTTACCGTTGGTATGAATTAAGGAGAACTGCTCAGATCTCAAGTTAATGATAGGATTGAAATATATATATATATAACTGTACATATAATTGTATAACATAGAAGGATGAGGCTTATATAGAGGTTAAGAATGATGTATTAAGTTTTTGTACCACGAGAAACAAACTGTTAGGAATACTTACTCTGGAATGTCACGCTTGTCCATTTTTGTTTTAATTGTATTATAAATAAAAAAACTTTTTAATAATAATAAAAAAGAAATAAGCTATTGATTATTTACATAAATAAATCTTTTATAGAAAAATGCCATAAACCTCAATTGACTTCTTCTAAGGAAAGTAATCCAGGCAGTGGTGGTAGTAGTGGTGTGTGTTTGTGTGTGTGTGTGTGAAGATTGGCAAGTGATATTCATTCTTTTTATGTATCTTTGTTTTCTCCGCCCTTCAACCATTTTCTTCTCTATTCTCCATATGTATTACTAACTAACCAGAGAAATGGGGGGAAAGCTAGCAAGATAAGAAAGCTGCCGAGACTAAAACCATTAATTCCCCTGCTTAGAGCTGTTAAATAGAAACAAACTAAATAAAGTATTTATCATCATCTCAAGGCCAGGAGCGATAAACAAGACTTTTAAGAAAAGAAATGAAAGCAAAGTGAAAATACATTCGGCAGAACGAAGTGTGAACTAATACTTTTTGCAAGGATCAGCAGAGGTATCATGACCCACAGAATGTAAGATGGCAATAAGGTGTGGGAAGATTTCTGTATAAACTGCTTTTTGGAATCTCTCATCTCCTTTGCATTGACCTAACAAGTAAAGGAGAAGGGCACTCTCTGTTTTTTGTCCTTGTTTTCACTTTTCTTCCTTTTTGCTAGGTCTGATATGTGCAGAAGAATGGGGAATGAGTATGCTTGCAGAATAGGTGCTAAATAAATAAATAAATTCCCTATTGTTGGGAAATATAGTACTTAAAAAAAACCTTAATGTCATCTGTAATAACCATATAATGCTACCTCATCAAAATCCTTTTGGTTCAGACATTATCCCCATTTCCTATAAATTGACTTTTTTAAAAAAAATATAGATTAGAACATAAATAAATAACTATATTAAGCTCTTTCAGACAACCTTTACTATTTTTAATAAAACAGAGTTAGCAGATCTTTCAGTGTCCCCTAGCTGGTAGCCAGCATGGGTTTGTTAAAAACAGATCATGCCAAACTAATCTTATTTCATTCTTTGATAAAGTGGCCAAATTAGTAGACCAGCGAAACGCTGTGGACATAGTATAGTTAGATTTCAGTAAGGCATTCAACAAAGTAGATCACAATCTACTGCTTGGTAAGCTAGAAAAAGGTGGAATAGACAATATCATCACCAGATGGATTTGTAGCTGGCTGACAAATCGTACTCAACGAGTAGTCCTCAATGGTACTACATCCACATAGAGAGCAGTAAGTAGTGGGGTACCACAAGGCTCCATCTTAGGCCCAGTACTCTTCAATATCTTCATCAATGACTTAAATGGGGGAATAGAAGGGGAACTCATCAAATTTGCAGATGACACTAAACTGGCAGGAATAGCCAATACCTCAGAAGACCAGCTCAGGATTCAAAAAAATCTTGACAAACTTGAACAAGGGGCCCTATCCAACAAAATGAGTTTTAATGTGGAGAAAAGCAAAGTTTTACATTTAAGCAGGAAAAACAAAAGGTATAAGTACAGATTAGGTGAGACCTGGCTCAAAAACAGTAACTGTGAGAGGGTCCTTAGAGTCCTAGTGGACGATCACTTGACTATGAGCCAGCAGAGTACAGCAGCAGCCAAAAAAGCTAATACAATCCTGGGTTGTATAAACAGAGGCATAGAATCAAGATTACGTGAAGTATTAGTACTGCTTAAAAAATCCTACTAAGACTACACCTGGAGTACTGCAACCAATTTTGGTCACCATATCACAAAAAAGATGTTGAGACTTTGGACAAAGTTCAGAGAAGAGCAACTAAGATGATCAAAGGCCTGGAGATTAAAATATATGAAGAAGGGCTGCAGGACTTGGGTTTGGCTAATCTAAAGAAAAGAAGAAATAGGGGAGACATGATAGCAGTGTTCCAGTGTCTGAGGGGCTGCCAAAAAGAAGAGGGGGGTCAAACTATTCTCCAAATCACCAGAGGGCAGGACAAGAAACAATGGCTGGAAACTGACCAAAGGAAAAGCAATCTCCAAGGACCCTTCCAGCTCTATTCTATTTTATTTAGTGCAATTAAGCAAAAAGACTATAATCCTAGTCATCTGAATCCAGCCTTTGTTCTGAAACGTTGATACATTTATCACTGCTTCTTGAAACATTGCTTCCAACTAATTGCACATTTTTGAAATAGCGTTAGAATTATTTTAAAATATCTGCATTTCCCTACTCCTCCTTAATTTTATTCTCTTGTCTTCCACTTGTTTTTTTTTTATGATTGGAAATAGTACACAAATTAAACAGCGGGCTAACATGGAAGTTCATGATTTACACATGAAGAGAAGGCACAACATTATAATTAGATGTTCATGATCTAATTAAAATGCTTATTTGGGCCAAGAGAGACTGGACAGCTCTTTCTCTGGAATAGTATAGGGGTCCTGCTAGAAAAGGGAATTGAACTAGACGATTTCCAAGGTACCCTATAATCCTATTATTCTATGTTTTAGAGTCGAGGCCAGAGGTAGGCAACCTTGGCTCTTTTATGACTCATGGACTTCAACTCCCAGAATTCCTGAGCCAGCATGGCTCAGCTTGGAAACCTCTCCCTTTCCCCTCAGCGTGGCTGGCTCAGGAATTCTGGGAGTTGAAGTCCACGAGTCATAAAAGAGCCAAGGTTGCCTACCCCTGGTCTAGACTATGCTAAAAAAAGTCAAGGTGGCCACAATAGTGCAGTCAACACTCTATGCCAGTGGTTCTCAACCTTTTTAATGCCGCGACCCCCAACCGGTCGTAAGTCGAGGACTACTCAACCGGTCATAAGTCGAGGACTACTCAACTGGTGCAGCACCGTTTGCAGAATGGGACTTTTGGCGGGCTCAGCAGGGCAGAGACAGCCTGGACAATTCCTATTGGCTTTTGAAAGCCAATAGAATTAGACTCTATTCAAGAGAGTCTATTCTATGGCTTTCAAAAGCCAATAGAATAAAAGGGAGTAGCACAGCTAAGGAAAAGGGGGGAAAAATGGCAGACTGCGTTGTTTGGCGACCCCCATGAAATGGTCGTTCGACCCCAAATGGGGTCCCGACCCACAGGTTGAGAACCACTGATTTGGAGTCTAGACCAGAGGTAGGAAATCTTGACTCTTTTATGACTCATGGACTTCAACTCCCAGAATTCCTGAGCCAGCATGGCTCAGCTTGGAAACCTCTCTCTTTCCCCTCAGCATGGCTGGATCAGGAAGTCTGGGAGTTGAAGTCCACAAGTCATAAAAGAGCCAAGGTTGCCTACCTCTGGCCTAGGCCTAGGCTGCTTTATGACATGTGGACTTCAACTCCCAGAATTCCTGAGCCAGCATGGCTCAGCGTGGAAACCTCTCTCTTTCCCCTCAGCGTGGCTGGCTCAGGAATTCTGGGAGTTGAAGTCCATGAGTCATGAAAGAGCCAAGGTTTCCTATCCCTGGTCTAGACTATGCTAAAAAAAGTCAAGGTGGCCACAATAGTGCAGTCAACACCCTATGCTGAACCATAGGTAGACATTTCATTTTAGCTAGTGTAGCGTTTCCATTTCCTGAACCGTAGGTAGACACCCATGGTTCAGAAATGGAAACTATATACAACCTAAAATGACATTTTTACAAAAAGCATTAGTAGGGGAAAAACAGCACTGCAGAAGACCTACTGGCTTGCTTCGCTTTCTCCACATAGCTGGTAGTCAGATCTTCATCGACGGGGTGCTCCACAGGGCCTATCATGGGGATCAAGTGCCGCTCTGCTCGAATTGTCCTCGTTGCATGCGGCAGGAGCATGGCTTCGGCGGCTGCCTCTGTCTCTTCAGATAGGAACGGGTGAAGCAAAACGTCACGCTCTGAGACAGGTGCATCAGCGAGGTTCTCTGTGTGAAATACAATCTCCCTCTTCGCCACTCCGCCAAGGCCTTCTCCTTCTCCCGCTGGGGCCACCACTTCAGGCGTGCTGTCATAGCCGCTCTGCTCAGAGACTTCATCCTGTGGCTCACCCACTTTGTTGTTTGAGCCCCCAGGTGGGGAACGGGGAGTCTTCTTGCGAGCTCGCCGATGCTTTTCATGGGTGATGTTGTCGGCATCGCTATCCGTCTCAGCGTAGTACGCTTCACTGTCTGGGGGGGAGGTCACGTTCTCCAAGCGCTGCTGCTGGGGTTGCTCAGCTTCTGGGGCGCTTTGGGGGCCTCCTGTTTCAGAAGTGTGTCCCTGGGAGGCGCGGTTTAGTGGAGAAACAAGTGAGGCAGCTTGCTTAGGAGAAAGGGAGCGCAGTAATCTTGCCTCAGACAGATCTCCGGTTGTTGCCCTGGAGAGACCAGAAAAGGAAGAGAATTTTAGTCAGTTATATAGGTTACAAGATCCAGTTCTGATCCATTATTATTATTATTTTGTATCTTTTCATCCTACCGGCCACTGGGATGAAAGTGTAAGGATTCCCTTTTTTGACATTCCACCTTTGATACTTTCCAGAGTTGGTTAGATTGGGTTCTCCAGCTGCCCTCACTTTTGAGATCCTTTTCTATGAATCCCTGGGCCCTCTGCTGTCCATCTTGATTAATTACTTGTGTTATATATTGATATTAAGGGTTAATGTGTTTTGATTTAAATGTGTCTCCAACTGTTTTGGAGGGAAAGTTAAGTTTAAGTTTGAGTGGGAAAACGGCTTATGATTTGATTGGTCGCCACCTAGAGGCGGCGAGTATAAATAGCTGTCATTCTGTTGATTAAGTTCAGTTCTGTCTCCGCTGCAATAAATCATATTGTATTAGACCAGTCTGGTTAATGCCTCCAAAAAACCCACTACACAATAACTTGGATGAGCACTGATAAATCCCTTGCTAAAAGCTCTTGTGGAACAGCTTCTCTGTTGCTTCTCATAACTTCCATGTAATATTGTACAAGTAGTTCTAGACCAGTGGTTCTCAACCTTTTTAATGCCGCGACCCCCAACCGATCGTAAGTCGAGGACTACTCAACTGGTGCAGCACTGCTTGCAGAATGGGACTTTTGGCGGGCTCAGCGGGGCAGAGACAGCCTGGACAATTCCTATTGGCTTTTGAAAGCCAATAGAATTAGACTCTATTCAAGAGAGTCTATTCTATTGGCTTTCAAAAGCCAATAGAATAAAAGGGAGTAGCACAGCTAAGGAAAAGGGGGAAAAAATGGCGGACTGCATTGTTTGGCGACCCCCGTGAAATGGTCGTTCGACCCCAAATGGGGTCCCGACCCACAGGTTGAGAACCACTGGTCTAGACTTACAACTGTTCATTTAGTGACTGTTCAAAAGTTACAATGGCACTGAAAAATGGGACTTATGACCTTTGCAGCATCCCCATCATCGTGTGATCAGAATTCAGACGCTTGGCAATTGGTTAATATTTATGACTGTTGCTATGTCCCGGGGTCACGTGATCCTCTTTTGCGACATTCTGACGAGTAAAATCAGTGGGGAAACCAGATGCCCTTAACGACTGGGTTACTAACTTATCACCTTCAATGTGTCACTGATCAAGGGTGGCAAGAAAGGTCATAAAATGGAGCAAAATTCACTTAACAAATGTCTCACTTAACCAGAGAAATGTTGGGCTCAATTGTGGAAGTAATTACCTCCTTCCAGCATAGCTTATATTGCAGAATTGGCCACATGCCATACCATGATTAACAGACATTTGTAATGTTGCCATGGACCTTCCATGGATATTGGGGAGAGGGGGGGGGGAGAGAAAGAGACAGACAAAGAATGTGTGGCTAGAGCAGAATTTGTTTGAAATAGAATCGCTCTTCTCGGCTTTGCTGCTAGGAACTTCCGCGACTCACCAGCTGTACCAATTTTACGTTGGCAGCTGCCGGCTTGAATGACGCCACACCTCTTCTCATTCCCTGTTTGTTTCTTACTTAATCACTTGATCAGCTGCGTCACCTGCAAGGCTCCTTTTCCTATGATTGCTAACTTTCCACAAGAGCTTTTAGCAAGGGCTTTATCAAATATGTTTAAAAGTAATGTTCAGGATATGTATTAGATTATGCAATACATCTTCATCTCAAAGATTTTTAACGATTTGCTGAGACAGAACACCGACAGGGACCTACTAATCCCCCACAAGCAATATTGAGGTGGCCATGCCCCCCAGTCTGCCGTGACCACCGCAGCCACACCCACCCAGTGGGCCACGCAGAATGGGAAGTTTAGGCACTGACCTTTGGCCATGCCCCCTTTGCCCCCAGCCATCTACTTCAGCTGATTTACAGCCATCTTTCCTCCTCTGCTGGTTCTCCCTCCGCCATTCTCCAAAGCCAATGGGCCCCTGCCCTCCACCTCTTGACCTTTGTTCCTACCTATTCGCCCTGACACTGTTTGACCCGGGCCTTTGGTTGCACAGGACAAATAGCCCCCAGCCAATTGGGGGGCAGCAATGGCACAGGGGGTGACCAAGGGGGTTGTGAGGGGGCAGCATGCAATACGATCTGTGGCAGGCTGGGAGAGAGAGCAAGAGGTATGGTGGCGCATAGCTGCTGGAGTTGGGGAGATGGGGAAGGGAGATGGCGCAAAGCTGGTGGTGCTATGGGGAGGAAAGGTGATGGCGTGTGGCTGCTGGAATTGGGGGAACAGCAGTGGTGGGATTCCAATTTGTGAGCAACCGGTTCTCTGTGTGGATGTCACTTCCAGAAGTCCATTCTGGGCCTGGGCAACAAAAAATTAGCGACCGGTTCTGCCAAAGTGGTGCGAACTGGCTGAATCCCACCACTGGGGAAAGGTGATGGCATGCAGCTATTGGTATTGGGGGGAAAGGTGACAGTGTGAGGCTGATGGTGCTGCAGGAGGGAAGGGTGATGATGCTAGGTTGGGGGGGAGCAGCTGAACTGCCCGTTCGGCATCAGGCAGGAGTCCAGGCGCAGAGGCAACAGCGGGATGGTGGTGATCAAAATGAGAAACTGCACCTGATCCTGCCAGCCTGATGCCAAATGGGAAGTTGGGCTGCCCCCCCTCACATCTGCTTCCCCCCCAATGCCAGCAGCCTCGCGCTGTCATCTTCCTCCCCCCAGTGCCTGGAGATTTGTGCCATCATTTTCCCCCTCGCCAGCAGCTTCATACTGTCTCCCTTCCCCCCATGCAGTGCCACCAGCCTCATGCTGTCACCGTTCACTCCCTGACTCCAGCAGCCATGTGCCATCACCTTTCGGGGGCCCCCCACGCCAGCAGCCTCATGCCATCTCCCTTCCCTCCGCTGACACCTGCAGCCTCAAGCCGTCTTCCTTCCCCTGCCATCACCTGCAACCTCGCCCCCATCACCTTTCTCCCCCAATGCCTGCAACCTCGCCCCATCACCTTTCTCCCCCAATGCCTGCAGCCTTGCACCATCTCCCTTCCCCCAACAGCAGCAGCCACATGCCATCCCCTTTCCCCCAATGCCTGCAGCCTCGAACTATTTCCTTTTCCCTCGCAGTGCCACCAACCTCACATTATTACCATTTGCCCCAGTGGCCGTGCATCCACTGCACCTCTTTCCCTTCCTTCCCCAGCTTGCCACCGATTGTATTGCATGCTGCCCCCTCATAGCTCCCTCGGTCAGCCCCCCAGTACTCCTGATTGGCTGGGTGCTATTTGTCCCGTGCAGCCAAAGGCCTGGGTCAAACAGTATCAGGGCTACTGGGCAGGGACTAAAGAGCCAGGGGCCCAAAGGCTTTGGAGAATGGCCGAGGGAAGGCCATCAGAGGAGGAAGATTGGCTGTAAATCAGCTGAGGCTGGGGCAAAGTGGGTGTGGCCAAGGGTTGGTGCCTAAACGTCCTAGACCTGAATGCTTGAATGCATCAGAGTCTCATAGATCTCATTCTGGTATGAATGTTTCAACAAAATATGTATAATCAGTTGTTGTTGTTGTTAGTTGCGAAGTCATGTCCGACCCATCGCGACTCCATGGACAATGTTCCTCCAGGCCTTCCTGTCCTCTACCATCTTCTGGAGTCCATTTAAGCTCAAACAACTGGTTCTATTATATGATGCAGGCCTGGGCTTCCGAGGCCTAGAACGGACTTCCGGAAGTGGTATCAACGCACTTCCGGAGGCTGTTCTAGGCCTGGAAGGCCTCCTCCAGGCCTCCGGTGCCTAGAACAGACTTCCAGAAGTGGCATCAACACACTTCTAGTGGGCCATTCCAGGCCTGGGAGACCTCCTCCAGGCCTCTGAGGCCTAGAACAGACTTCCGGAAGTGGTATCCGTGCACTTCCGGTGGGCCGTTCTAGGCCCGAGAGGCCTTTGAGACCTAGACTGGACTTCCAGAAGCCAGCCATTTCTCTGAATTCAGGTAAATTTAGCTACCGGTTCTCCCGAACCTGTGCGAACCGGCTGAATCCCACCACTGTGTATAATACAGTATATATCAGACCAGAACCCAGGCACTGCTTTGTACTATGGATGGTTTCGCCTGAGTGGAAGAGAGAGATAATTGGTGACATTTGTGAAATCAGGTATGATTCCATCAGAACTTTACGAAAAACATTTAACGGTGCTGTTCCAGTTAAAAATACTCAATTTGTCCAAACGGTTTGAGTAATCCATCTTTCACTCAGTCCCACTGGTGCTTCCCTTACCTTTTAACAACGATGCTGAGGGTGCTGCTGGAAGAGTCGATGATCTGCATGGTGATGGCATGGGAGAGGCCAGCACATGGTTTTCCGTTAATGGATACAAGTTCGTCATTTTCCCTTAGTCCCCCACGACACGCTTTACTTCTCTTGCGAATCTAAAAAAAGGAAAGTGAAGGAGGGATCAGCAATCCACAAGCGCCTCCATCAACCTTTCAACAGGGAGTGAGAGAATGAGCGAGGCCCAGTTAGGCATATCCACAGGGTATGATAAAAAATAAAATCAAGATAGTGGCTGTGATGCTGTGGTGCAAGTTCTGCCCATTTTTATGTCTCCCATTTAAAATGGGGGGGCGTTTCCATCATAGCATCAGACCATTCTCGTGATCATTTTTACCACACTCTGACTCGGCCATTACAATGCACTCCTTTCTCACTTTGACTTTGGGAAACTCAATCTGAGCAAGAAAATGAATGAATAAAATGAATGAATGAATGAATGAATGAATGAATGAATGGATGGATGGATGGATGTTTGTATGTATGGATGGATGAATGGATGGATAGATGGATGGATGGATAGATGGATGGATGTTATATAATGTCTAGGTCCATGGTGGCGAACCTATGGCACGTGTGCCACAGGTGGCACGCAGAGCCCTCTGTGTGGGCACAGTCTTAGGCCTTCAGCTGGGTTTTATAAAATCTTTTTGCTTTAGGCCTCCACCACCATGTGCAAAAAAAAAAAAAAAAAAAAAGGTTCAATCAATCAGTCAATTTCAACTTCTCCGGGGAAAAAAAAGATCTCGCAAAGTTGGAATTGATTGATTGAACTTTTTAGTCCCATCCAGTCTGCCGTTACCACCGAAGCCATGCCCACCCAATGGCCACGCCCACCCAATGGGCCACGCCCACCCAGCACCCGACGATACATAAGTGGGTTTTGGGTTGCAGTTTGGGCACTCGGTCTCTAAAAGGTTCGCCATCACTGGTCTAGGTATTGCCAGTAACACAACGTCCTAAAACCTGTTGCTGGCGGTAAGCTATTTTAACTCTCAAAATATTTTAAAACATAACATGCAAAAGTTACCATTACCAAGTACTCGGGTAAAAAAATTCACAAATAGAAGCTGAATAGGCAAAGATGTTACTGGTCATTGCCTTTAGAAAAGCTTCACAGGAGAGACGATGACAGCCAACAGAGAAATATGGACAGAGGTCAGAGGTACCCTGGCATGTGGGCATACACAATAGTAAGACAACTGTTGCCCATACGGTTGTCTCATTGAGCGTTTGTCAGTCCTACAGATCAGGTGCCAGCCAGATTTCCAGCTTGCTTGCCCTTGGCTGCCATAGAAATGGGGGGTGGGGGTTGGCATTTGGGGTAGGGAAGTGAGCTGGTGTGTTCCCATGAGAAAGGGAGGGATTTGGGGTGACTTTCAATGTATAACTTCCATGCAGATTTTACTCAGATCTTGACTTGCTTTTCCCGCTATCAGTTCATTCTGTACCTCTTCTCTAAATCCACGGAGTTGGGATTTTTTCTTTCTTTCTTGGGATTTGAATGAAGGTAGATCTGACATTAGGCAAGATCTGCTTTATTGGCCAACCCAGAGACCATAGTCTACCGTGGGGGGAGGGGCGAGCACTTGATGTCAACTCATGGGAGTTTGAGCCATTCTCATTTGATATCCCTTTGCTTTTGCCCTGAAGTGTTTTTTAACTGGCAGGAGGCAAATCCATTCATTTGAGCTGTGGTGCTGGAGGAGGCACCTGCACATTCCTTGGATGCAAAGATGACAAGCAAGGAACTACTGGAACGTATAAAACCAGACATATTGCTGAAAGGCAAAATCACAAAATTCCGCCTTACTTATTTCGGCCATGTCACACAAACAAACTCACTGGAAGAAGAAGTTCTGCTCAGAATGGTCAGAGCTAAAAGGAAACAAGGTCACCAAAATGACGGACACCATCAAAGCCAACACCAGCCAGAGAATAAAAAAATGAAAGAAGCTGTACCAGATGGACATCACTTTTTAAACAGCCAAACTAAAAGCAAAATACTTGCTTTCTAAATAGTACCATTTCGCACTTTGTGTTTTGGCTTTATACGGAATCAGCGGATGTTTTAGGCTTTGCTGAATCAATCCCCCAGAATCTGCCATGGCATAGGGTCCCAACCTTTTTTTTGGATTTTTTTTTAAATTCCACTTTAATTATTTATTTTATAAATAACTCAAAAGTGGTGAATATTTCCTATTTTGCACACAACAAGTTGGATTGGGCTGAGAGATAGTGGCTGGTCCAAGATCATCTGACTAACTTTTATGCCTAAAGCAGGATTAAAACTCACCGTTTCCTAATTTCTAGCTTGGAATTCTGAAAAGAACAGGGCTAGGTGGACTGAACTGAACACTGATGGTCTGATCCTCTGAGACAGGATAATCTAGCAAAATAGTTGGGCAGCATACCTTTATTGTACCTGGCAGCATAAGGTTAGGGAAATATTTAAAGCTTTGCCATCATCTAGTGCAGTGGTGGTGAACCTATGGCACGCGTGCCAGAGGCGGCACTCAGAGCCCTCTCTGTGGGCACGCGTGCCTTCGCCTCAGCCCTGCCTCCCCCCATGGCCCTCTCCTCACCAGCAGCCCACCCCGGAGGAGAGTCGCCCCTGGGTGCGGCCGCGGACAGCAGCACAGCCAAGGACATTGGCAGCCGGGTAGCGGGGACAAGACTCCGCCCTCACACTTCGTCATGCACAGATGATGCTGCAGGGTACGGATGGAGGGTGTGGCCCCCATGGTGCTGCTGAGCTGCCTGGGTGATCTGTTGCAGTGGGCCGTGGAGGTGGGTGGCCTGCGGGCAGGCAGGGCACAGGATGGCAGGCAGGGTGGGGGCGGGGTGGTCTTTGGGCACTCGGTCTCTAAAAGGTCCGCCATCACTGATCTAGTGGTAATCTGGATTTCCCAGACATTATCAGGCTAATGTTGGGAGATCGCCAAAACTATACTTCCAAAATGGCAAGCACTAATAGAAGCCCAGGCAACAAATTCTAAGTTATGCTGTTAACAAAAGGCTTTAGAAAAGCTTTCAGCCAAAGTAAAGTTAAAAGCACAAATTACAAATGTCGAACTCATCAAATTTGCAGGCAACACCAACCTGGAGAGAATATCCAATGCTTTAGAACAGGGGTGTCAAACTGCTGGTCCGCGGGCTGGATGCATCACCAGGAAACCACGCCCACCCCATTGCTGGCAATGGGGAAAAAGCTCCAATAAGTCACGCGACGTCACGTGATGTCGCGAGTTTGACATGCTGCTTTAGAAGATAGATTCAAGATTCAGAAGGACCTTGACAGACTTGAATTCTAGGCCCTACCCAGCAAAATGCAATTTAGTGGTGAGAAAAGTAAGGTTTCGCACTTAGGCAAGAAAAAGCAAATGCACAGGTATAGAATGGGTGGTATCTGGTTCAATAGCAGTAACAGCGAAAGGGATATAGGAGAATATTTATAGTTTAGAGTTAAAATGAAGAGTCCTTGGTGCTCTCTGAGCTTGGTTGTTTTCTTGCAGATGTTTCATTATCCAAATGAGGTAACATCATCAGCACAATGATCTAGGTGTCCTAGTGGACCACCATAGATATGACCCTGCAGTGTGACACAGTTGACAAAAAAAGGCAATGTATCCATAGGCTGCATCAATAGAAGGATAATTTCAAGCTCTCATGAAGTGATAGCACCAAGGTTGATTCAGCCTTCCACCCTTCCAACGTGGGTAAAATGAGGACCCAAATTATTGGGGACAATAAGCTGACTCTGTAAACTGCTTAGAGAGGGCTGTAAAGCACTGTGAAATAGTATATAACTCTAAGTGCTATTGCTGTTTTCTATTGCACTAGTGAGGCCACACTTGAAATACTGCATCCAGTTCTGGTGACCACCAATAGAAAAAAGATGCTGAGGCTCTGGAAAGAGTGCAGAGAAGAGCAACAAAGATGATTTAGGGGGCTAGAGGCTGAAACATATGATGAACAGTTGCAGGAACTTGGTAAGCTAGCTAGTCTAATGAAGAGGAAGACTAGGGGTGACATGTTTGAGAGGCTGTCGTAAAGAAGAGGGGCAATCTATTCTCCAAAGCACCTGAGGGCAAGAGAAGAAATAATGGATGTAAACTTAACAAAGAGAAATCCAACTTAGAATTAAGGAGAAATTTCCTGACAGAAGAATTAATCAGTGGAACAGCTTGCCTCCAGAAGTTGTGAGTGCTCTATCACTGAAGATTCTAAAGAACTCTTTATCCAGAATTCTCCTGTTCAAATAGGCAGTTGGAGTAGCAGACTTCCAGAGTCACTTCCAAACCTTTTACTCTGTGTTCTATGATTAGGCATCCTAATGAAGAAACAATTGATATAGTCGGACTGGAAAGCCGATTAATCAATCAAGCTAAAAGTGATAATTAAAGATGCAAAGAGCCATTAAAGCATTCAACTTTCTTTAACTGATGACAACCTGGACTAATTGTATTTTGGACTGCAGGACCAAAGTGTAGATTAATAGCCCCTATTAAAAATCACCACCCACAGAGCTATTCTTAATTAAATGGAAGGCAATTGGCTTTTTAACAAGAGTTTAGCTTCACATCTGGCGCAGTCCTGAGTGTCTCTACAGCAAAAAAACGTAGTCTCTGTTCTTATCAGTTTAAAATGGAGATGAGAAGAAAGTGGAAGTATCTGTTTTGGGAGCTATGACCTGGCTAGGAATTTGTTGGACTTTGATCAGCCTCTGGGGTCCATCTCCTGCTGCAGTCTTAAAATAGCCATGGCCCATTCCAACTGTTGCATCCATTAGCACAAGCCCTGGCCTTTTGCAGTCTTTGCCCTCCTCTACCTTTAACATTTAAAAAAAATGTGGAATGAGAACATGAAATCGTAGATCAAACAGCAAAGCAAGCAGCTCTCCTCCTGGCCTTATCCAACTGCATGCCCTTCCGCCTTTTTGTTCCTTTCTTTCCTAACTTTCTGGGAAGAGCATCCAGGCCTCCAAAGCATGAAACGGTGAAGGAGGGGCAAGGGTGTCTATGGCTATGCCAGGAATGGGATTGATTAAGACCCAAATGCCCCAAAGCCAGATCGGGTGTGCATGCCCAGGCAAGAG